AATTAAGATTATGAAAAAAAAAAATTAAATTATATATATATTACCTTAAATGGATCATAATCCAGAGCACTCCATATCAAAGAAGCAGTGACATATTCAATTGCTTCCATTTGAAATGGTGATACAGTAGGTCTCACTTCAAATAAATTTGGATGATTGCATACTTTTCGTAATTGCATTAATACATTAATAACGCTTAACAAATTACCACTAGCCAAAGTTTCTTTTGTCCTTTATAACAAAAATTATATTTATTATGTACTATAATAAATATACTAAAATAATATAATATAATATAATAAAATAATAATATAATAATATAATAAATTTACTAAAATACTATGTACTAATGTACTAAAATAAATATTATGTACTATATAAATTTGTATATATTATATATATATATGTAATATGTGTATATTTTATAATATATAATACATATATTATGAAAATATAAAATATGTAACACTTACTTTGCTCTAGACATAAAATCATCATATAGATATCGCTGTCGTTTTGATAAACGACACATGACAACATGTTCATATTTTTTAGGCAATTGTTTTTCTACTTCTGTTTTTAATCTTCGCAATAAAAAAGGCCGTAAAACCTATGAATAACGTAATATGTAATATAACGTATAAGTAATATGTAAATGCAACAAAGGAGTTGGATGAAAAAACAAATGATATAATAAAAATTCTAATAAAAATGTTTCTCCAGACAGGTTTCGAATGTCATATAAATATATATTATGACACGCGAGTTTTAATAGAGAATTTTTTTTTTAATATTTCGCTATTTATATGAAACAGATATATAATACATAATTATATATCTGTGTCGGTAGCGAACTATATACATGAAATAATTATAAATATAAAAGCAAATTACGTACAAACCTTGTGCAGACGACGAATGATGTTTTCATTATATTCACTGTTCCCTTCTATCATTCCAGTAACAGGATTACTAAACCATTCTTTAAATTCTCTGTGTGATTGAAATACATTTGGCATTAAAAAATGCATTAATGACCATAATTCCATCAAGTTATTTTGGAGAGGTGTACCAGTAAGCAATAAACGTCTGTAACAATGAGAATTTTCATATGAAATAATATTTATAAAATACAATATAAAATATATAATTATAAATATAAATATTAATTATAATTATTTTTAAAGTACATTATCCAAATATAATGATATAAATTACCGTTGTGTTTGAAAATTCAACAATAATTGCCATCTTTGTGATTTGAAATTTTTTATATTTTGAGCTTCATCTAATATAAGATACTTCCATTTTTTTCTTCTAAAGCTTTGATGATCTTGTATAACTAATTTATATGATGTTATACAAATATGAAATGCATTAGGTTTTGTCCAACCTAAAAATAAATAAAATATTATAAATATTTTATAAATATTATTAAATATTTATAAATATTATTATTAATTATTATTTATATTAATGTTTAATTATTTACATTTCTGTTTAATAATAAATTTTACCTGTTCTTTTTTGTTTCCTTTCTTTTTGTGTTCCATAATAAGTTAATATCTTAAATCCTGGACACCACTTTTTACATTCCATTTCCCAGTTGAGCATTACAGATGTTGGTACTATTACGAGATGAGGACCCCAATTACCCTTTTCACATGCTAAATGCGCAAGTAAAGCAATTGTTTGTATGGTTTTACCCAAACCCATTTCATCTGCCAAAATGCCATTTAATTTTCTATCATACATTGTAACAAGCCAGTCCAATCCTATGTGCTGATATTCTCGAAGAGGATGTTTTAAAAGAAATGGAATTTTTGTAACAACCTAAAATTATATCAGTTTTTTGTTAGAGAATTATAAATATTTTTTTTTTAACTCATATAATTTATAAAAATTGTCGTGACAATTCTCTAAAATAAATCGACGAATTAATTTACTTGTCAAGAAAAGATGCCACTTATACTTTAGCCTTTCTAAATGGTCATGTGCAAATTATTGTCACACAACCTTGGATGGAAGGCTGTCTCAACAATAAAGACTGGCTCCACGACAAAAAGATTATCAAAATATTAGAATGACGTACACTAGTTGTAAGTAAAGTATTTCCTTTAGGTTGAATACTTTCTGCCAATGCTGCTACGTTATCCATTTCATTGTGAGCATCTGAATGATCCAATTCTGCAGTCTATAAAAAATAACCAATATATTATTTTTTTAAATAAAAATTGTCATTATCTAAGAATATTATTTTACTTTATCATCTGATGATTTCTCCATAGATATATCTTCTAACAGAGATTTAAGTCCAATATCAGTTTCATTATCAGTTTGTGTTTGAGACTCCTCTTCTCCAACTTCATTATCACTTTCCTCACTTTCACTTTCGTTACTTGTAGATTCTTCTTCATTCTCTTCTTGCTTTGTGCTTTCTTTATCTGATTCTATACAAATATATATATATATATATACTTATATGTATATATACATTAAAAATAAGTGTTCATGCTGATGAGTAATTGTAAATTTTAATTTTCAGACAAATGCCTCGTGTTACATCAAAAATAGAAATCAAGAATGAAAACCATTTCTTGAATCATCAGGAATGGTAAAATGTCATCATCAAAATATAAATATTCTACAACTAAAATTAATTTAAATAATATTATATATATTTACCTTGAATTGGTTCTTGTTCAACATCCATTGGCACATCTGATATGTTACCATATTTAGCCATAAGTTCATCAATAGACATTTCATTTTCAGCCTAAAAGTATTATACTTTTATAGAGAAAATTCATTACTCCTCTATAACAGCTAGAAAAGTATACACATACTTTGAGATCGTCTAATTCTTGTTTATAATCTGCATTTTCTTCCAGTTTTTCTTGTTCCATGATAGTTTCTTCCTCATCTGAGGATTCATCTGATGCGGCAATAAAATCCATATCTCCATCTGCTGTCTTTTCATTCTCCTTTTAAAATATACAAAAAATTATTTATCAAAATAAAATATCACTTATATTCTTCACTTATAATAAATATAATACAAAAATATAATACATACTTCTTCTACTTCCCTTGATGCGGGTGACAAACTTTTACTTCTATTCTCTAAGTAATCAGGTGGTAATTCTTTTAAAAGATCTTCTAAGGGTAATTCCGATTCTTTTTTTAACAATTCAACTTCTTCTTTATGATTTGTCACAGATTTCAGTTCTTCTTCAGCTTTTGCTATAGTTTCTTCATCATCATCTGAACTTTGGTTTGGTTGAAAATCCTCTATATTAAAAAATATTATATAAAGATATTAATTATTACATTAGGATATTAATATATTCGCGGAACTTTTCGAGAACTAATTTTAGAGCCAAAACAAATATATAATAAATTATACAAAAATATTAAGATATTTATTAAATTATAAGCAATTTAAATTCATGTTACATAAAATAAGACAGAAAAAGACGATATAATGAAAATAGTAATCTTATTTTATTTCCCTCTCGCTTTGTTTAACTTTATGTTTTAAACTTTAACTAACATTTTTGTACATTAACTACTATGTTTGTTTTTAACCTTAGAATTGATTCAAAAACATCTCATAAATAATATTAACATCAAATATATTATTAAACGATAAATTCGATAAAATATATTTAACACACCATCAGAATGAGATTTGCCAGGTGGTATTGGAGAAGAAATGCGTGAACTATTCATAGAGGCTGGTATACTTTGAGGGCCATCAGTTTTATTAAGTCCTTCAGTTAACCATGTTGAATATTTTTCTGTTTGGCCCACAATAAAATTTAAGTGCTGGTCTAATGCTTGCTTCCTTTTTTCTTCAAGCCTCGTTTGTTGTTTATATTCCACCAACTTAAAAAAAAAAAAAAAAAGAATAAATACATACAATATATTTATTTTTATAAAAATTATGTTTTAGTTATGAAAATAAATGTCCTGCATCAATTCTTTGATTATAAAAATAAATACAATCATACACAATGAGCAGACTTTGCTGTTCCCATAACGAGCACACATTTTCAATTGAAATATATTGAAATTGTCGGCTTAATAGTATGGGGTAAATAAAATTATTACAAGTTACAAACTTACTTTTTCTACATTTGTCCAGAAAGTTTTAATTTCTTTAGCGATAAAACTAGCGATCTTTTTTAACCTAAGTTCTTGTGATTTTTCAGCTTTTTGTGCTTGAATTGCTTTCTCCTGAAAATATTTTTGTACCATACGCGCACATTTTTTTGCTGCGGCTTTTTTCCACTTTCGTTCTTGAGCAAAGTCGGCAGCTAACCAAACCATTTCTTCCAATAAATAGTCCCAATGAGCTTTTGTACGAGGTGGTTCTTGTACCTTAGGTAATCTTCTTTCTGACCATAATCCTTCACGTTGTAATTCCGCAATCCTTTGCATGACATATGCTTCTTGTTTAGCTTTTTCTACTATTTGTTCTTGGTTATTTGTGATATCACATGAAGTCGCATTGGAGGCAGGTAATTTAACAAGTTTGACAACAGGTTGAACAGGTGTAGTAGGCGCAGAAGATGTTTTTGTAGTAGTAGTAACAGCAATTGTAGTAGTAGCTCCAGTAAAGGTAACAGTAGAAGTAGTCATTGTGGTAATAGTTGTTGTAATAGATGTAGTTATTGTAGACTTATCTATCACTGAACTTGGAACAGTTGTTGTTACAGATTTTGGTGAACCTGGAACTATTGGTGCATTACCTGTAATAATAATAAAAATATTTAATATATAATCAAATATATTTAA